TCAATGCCGGAATCTAGCTCAAGCTTCTCCTCTTTCACTCTTCTACTCATCATCTTCCTCCTCTTATTACTACGTCCATCTCTTTTGTCTTCCGAATCTGAAGTTCGAATTTTGGATCGCGAGCTATTAGAGATCCGGACAAGTCCGAAGGCGAACAAGACTAGTAAGAAACCCAAATGCTGCGAGATGCGGACCAGATCTCAGTGTTCGGCTTACCCTAGATGCAGGTGGTGTCGTAGTGAAGCTCTCGACGACTTGTGCTTCAGTAAAGCTGAAGCCTTGCGACTTCCAAGTCAAGTCTTCCTCTGTGAGTTATAAAACTAACAGATTGTTCTAAATATAGGTGTAGTTCTTGTTGGAGAAACAGAGAGTTGTTTTCATTCCGGATTTTTGACTTTTGTTGTATCGTTTATCTCATATTTGTAACCTCTATGGTGTTGTTGTAATGGTTATTTCATTTGAGTATTGCAAGTTATGTGGATCTTGATCCTCGTATCTATTGGAAAAAAGTGCTTCATTTGTTGTGTTTCGTTCCTGTTTTGCTTTAAGTTTGAGCTAAACACTTTTGCTATTAAGCTCTCGATTGAGTTTTTCGACCACCATAAAGTTCTTTACTTGAAACATTGTTAGAGACTGAATATATCAAGCACTTTACTCAGGGATTGATTGTTTCCCAAACTAATATAATGTTGGTGTTTTTGTTGAAATTTAAACGAAAACAGAACCACAAAGAAACCATCAAGCCCTCAGTTGTCTAATATGCAGCTTTTTAGTATTTCAAGTGGTTCACTTATTGGTAACTTGGTATGTCTCTGTTCTTTCCTTATGATATGTTTGTGTTTGCAAGGTTATGGCTTGTTTGTGTTTGCAAGGTTATGGCTTATTTGTTTTAATGCCATCCACATTGCGTTTTGTCATTGTTCTTTGTGTCACTGCCGGTTTTGGAGGTTAAAAGCGTCTACGAATGTAAGTGTTCTTGCTTTACTAAACATTGTAAAGCCTGAAGAAATGATTTAACTCAGGAACAGAGAACTTTGTTATTTGCGATAATTGTTCTTTCTCTTAGGTTGTTCTTTCGCTTATCATCATAATTCACGAGGCCATTGGGAAGTTTCTTACTAAACTACACTGTTTTTAATTCCAAAAATATCTGCTTTACAAATGTTTTTTCATTCTTTTTTTTTTCCAGGAGAAGCTCCTCATATAGGTGTAGGTGCAACACTGAAGAAGGAACAATCCCTTTTCAATGCAAAAAAAAAAACCAATTACCTATAATTATCTTTCCCCCATCCCCAAACAATATAAACCCCAAAAAAGGAAAAACATATGCACATTACATCAGTCAGTTTGCCAGCAAATCCTGGACTGCATCCCTCATATCCTCGTACACGTAACAGCTTTCGAGGAACTCCACAAGCTTCAGCAGTTCTTGATCTTTCAGGTCATCCACAAAAGCTTTTATAGGCACTCCATTCTCTGGCTGTAATGAGTAAGAAGATGGGTTGTCATCAACAATCAAAGCATTTCCAAGGCCTTTCCCCACTACCAAAGATAAGTCCTTTACGTATTTTCCATTCACTTCCGTGCATGAGTCTCGGTATAGCCGCTGTGAGATCACACCGTTTTTGTCTAGCTTGTCCAAAACCTGTGAAGCATAATCTTCTAGACCAGCTGTGAAAACTGTCACTTTGTAGTTTTCACCAAGCCTTTCCAAGAATTCAGTAACACCGGGACGTTTCACTACAAAGATTGGCATAATTTCATTTTCCATTTTTACCATCACCATGAAATCATATTTAACTCCTGGTATTTGTGTCGTCGAATGAACCAATGTTTCATCAAGATCGAGGATGATTGTCCTTTTTTTGTTGGTATTTTCTGTCTGAGTGTCCTTGTGTTTCTCAAGGTTTGTATATGATCCATGTCTTGTGGCTGGATAGCTGACGGTGGTGGCCTTAAAGCACCTGGAAACAAAACGCAGAAGGCGACAATGGAACTTCAAGATGGACATTAATGGGTAACTTTTCTGTTGGTGTTTATGGAACTTGGATTTTTCTGGTTCTTTTTCGACGATTCTTTCAGATCCCATTGATTTTTCCCCGCTGCCCAATAAACAAAACAAGCTTGCAGCTCTTAATATGGAAGGCTTGGTAGTGGTAAGATGTTTCTGAATCTATCTTCTTCTAAATCTTATGCAAACTTATATACGATAATATCTAGAATTGACGTGCTACATTGGATTTAGTTTTGTTTGTTTATGGGAATTTAGAGGTGAAGTAGAGCAGATGCCTATTTGTAGACAATTTCAGTTTGGAAAGTTAGAGCAGTGCTTTGCTGTTTCATGTACTCATGGACAAAAATGTACATACAACATGAACCAATAAGAGATAACATTATAAGTTTAGTTAAGAGTTAKAGGTTTGGAGATTATAGTGGGATTACAGTTGAAGTATATTGCTTCTGCTTTGGTGAACTAGTTAAACTATATGGAATTTGTTTCTAACTTAAAGTTGTTTCAGTTTTAATATATTCTTTTTACAATAACAACAAATGAATTTAGAAAGTGTTATTCAATATGAATCACTTATTGATATTTTATAAACTATAATGGTTTAGGTTTCATCAATGGAGACCGTTCTTATTTAGTGTCAAGTCCAAAAGTACTATAGCCAAGATTTACATTACTCATATGAAAAAAAAATCTTTAGTGAGTTTATGGGTCAAGCATGGACAACTCATAGCTTCAAGGGTGATTACTCTGTTAAATGTCTCAAGCACATAAAGTTGACCTGAGTCTTTTTCGTGCAGTCAATTATTGGTTCATTTTTATTGTTTTCTTTGAATTTTATCCATCAGATTCTCTAGTAAGAAGTACTTGAAAGCATTCAATGTATGTTTCGAAACAAGTTATGGCACTAGTTTCTTATAGTGTTTCGTTTTCTCGTACTCAATATCCGATGTTGAAGGTAGAGTTTGTGGGGACTTGTTCTTTTATATCATACTGAATCAGTTCAATCTCTTTAGACTAAGATCTTAATATCATTTCCTGTTCTTGATAACTTGCTAGTCCAAAACTTTTTTTGTTTTGTTTTTAACATGTTCTTTCCAATCACATTTTATGTAGGTAAAAACGCTAAAAAAAGGACAAGGAAGCATCCTTTCTCAACGCAAAAATACCATTAGCCTGTATCATCATCGCTCCCCGAAAAAATCAACAAATAGAAAGAAAGAATTCCGAATAGTTTTTTGAAAAACAGGTTCTGCAAGTAAAATCCAAATATATGTGTGCATCAAATCAGCTTGTTGGATAGAAATTCTGTTGCTGCATCCCTTAGATCTTCGTACTGATAACATCCATCGAAGAAATCTGCAAGCTTCATCAGTTCTTGATCTTCCATGTCATCCACAAAAGGCTTAATGGGAACTCCGTTATCCGGCTGCAATGAGTAGGAGAAAGGGTTATCATCAACTATCAAAACACTCCCGAGGTCTTTCACGACCAAAGATAAGTCTTTGGCATATCTTCCGTTTATTTCTGTGCATGAATCTCGATATAGCCGTTGTGAGATCACACGGTTCTTGTCCATTTTATCCAAAACCTGTGAAGCATATTCAGGCAACCCGGCTGTGAAAACAGCCACGCGATAGCTCTTACCGATTCTATCAAGAAACTCTGTAACTCCTGGTCGTTTCACTACAAACATCGGTATAACTCCTCCTTCGATCTTTATCCTTACCATGAAATCGACACTAACTCGGATTGGTGGTTCCATCGTTGAGTGCACCAATGTTTCATCAAGATCAAGAAAGATTGTCCTTTTCTTGTCATTACGTATCCTCAGAGGCTGCTTTTCGTGTTTCTGTAGCTTTCTGTAGCCTTGTTTCATGGAGACTCGACGGCGAGGAGTTGCGCTAGCTGTGGTGGCTAGACAGAAAAACCTGGATACACAACGCAAGAGGCGGTTGTGGAATGTGAAGATAGACATGTTGAGGGATGTCAATATGGAGCCAGCTGCTGCTACAGCTGCAGCCGAACATGTGGATTGATGACGATGACGGCGGTTTCTCCTTCGATCTTTATGACGTCCAAAGGTTTTCGGGGTCGGTTTCACGAGAAATCCATGGCACGTCATTATCAAGTAATCAGAGTTCAAAACGGTGAGGAGAATTCCGCGTTTTTAATAAATGTTCTGCAGCTGGCTCAGGTAGAAACCTGGAGAAATGGTGATATGTTATAAAGGTTGTAACTTCCATGCCATTGGGTTTGGAACTGAAAGACACTTGATTTAGTATAGTTTAGTTTTATTCAGGTCCTGATTAGAGGCTCTGAGTTATTTTTAGCATATGTAACAGTTTCTGGACATTGACAAAATATCTGAGTTCTGACTTTTTTCTTAATGTGCTTTCCAAATAGACACCAAGATATACAATGTGAAGCCAACATGTATGAAAAAAGTGTCTGAAACAAAAGTGGTCCAGAGATTTTCATGGGAATATAGTTGTGTGTTTTGGAGTGCTTATTTACTGTGTAATATTGACTAAATTAAGCACTATATTAACAAACTAGGAACCTAATTTTTTAACATTGTAGTTTCATTATCTTTATGAATGAACATTTGTTCTCTGATCCTTTAATAACAATTATCAACAGTGGTGAAGAGAGACTGCACATAGCCATTTCATTACTTGTTACAATCATTTTAAAGAACATATCTTAAATCTAAACCATATATAAGATCTTACTTTGGTTAGTAGGCATTAATTTACAATTTAATGAACGAACTTTTAGGAACTATAGTTAACAGGAAAGTGAAAATACCGGTTACAGTGTTACAAAACATGATGTACAGAAACTGTTGGTTCATCATCTACTTCCCATCGGGTTTGAAGGGGGTCTGTCTCTACGTCGTGTTCTTGGGATGATCAGAGGTCTGCAACAAACCAACGTGAAAAGCAATTCCGTAACGAACAGACTCATGCTTATCCAGACAAACAAAGTTTTCCGCCATTTCCATATAATTTTTTTTAAGAAAGGCAGATCAGATTCAAGCGCCAGGGATGCGTCGTACAGCTCTGGAATACCTGCTCCGGGTCGAAATTCTGCCCGTTGTTCGATCATTATCTTTAAGCAAGCTGTGGGAATCTCCTTTTCTACAAAGCCTTTCAACTTCAAACTCAAGGTTTGGATCTCTGAGACGTATCCCGTCACTAACGGAACCACCTTGAAGAATGTCTGAACAAGACGTATAGGCTCGCTTCTGAATCTTAACATGCACGGACGCCTTATACTAGCAAGCGTTTGACCATCCGCAGATAAGAAATCCACCCGAACCTTCAACAAACACATAATGCCATCACAAAGAAGTTCATGTAGTGAACTTCCTAATCATTAAAGTTTATCAGAGATGTTCTTAGTCTCTTTCATAGCTTTGTAACGACATGGGAAACTATTATACAGAAAAATGCAATGCTTAGAGTGTTAGATATAGCTCATGCCAATACCTGAAACATGCCGAGATTTTTATTGTACACAGACTCAGGTAACGTCATCGAAAGAGTGATCTCTAACTTATGGTCTCGAGGTATCACTCGCGTGCCCCTAATCTTCCACATTTCATTACTTTCCTTGCAACTTCCCTCACAAGAAACACCAGCACACGAGGTTATAGGCACATATGCCTCCGGACTGTTCTTGGTGTAATCGAAATTCAAAATCTCCTTGACAACGAACGGCTTATCGGCTATACGGTTTATCGCAAAACCACCAAGCATAAGCGCAGAAACCAACAAGCCAAACAAGACAATGCCTACATAAAAAGCCCAAAACAAACCCCATCCAAACTTGCAAGCAACATTCAACATTTGTTTGGTATCTTTAAACCAATTCAACTTAAAGGGATCCATAGTTCCCAAGATCTTATCACTTATCCTTGCAACTATTGTCGTTAAATAGCGTCTTCCAAGCCTAATTCCACTAAAGGGATCAAAAACGAAGAGAGAGCAGAAATAGAGAAACAATGCAGGAAATTTGACAAAGCTTATCATCAAACTGACTTGAAATTCGATTGCTTTGATCACTAACCCAGCCAAAAACCCAAGGAGAGACCAATCTGTTGATCCTGATAAAGCATAGTCGTCTTCTCGATCATGGTTCATGCTGGTCACTGTAGATTCTTCAGTTTCATCTCCAATCATGCGATTCACATCCTGAAACGGGTCAACCCGGTCCCGATCCGAATCAGTTACATCGATATCCTTGTCTCGATCCTCAAAAGAATCAATTGCATCAGAATCGTTCTCAATTAAGTCATTGGTTGATTCAATTACGTCGCCATCTTCGAAATCCCCATTAAGTTCGTCGCTTTTTTCCACATACAACCTCGATTCCCCGACGACTTTAAACCCATCAGATGAGGAAGAAGAAGACGGCTCTGTTTCTATATCGGAAATAATCGAATTCCGGCGAGGTGCCGACATTCCCCGCCGGAGACTCGCGGCGGAGGGATTATCTGAATATTGACGGCGGGTCGGCAAGCAATCGTAGTAGAATTCTTCTGGGGCGTCGAGGAACCGATCGAGTTCGGATTCCATTGAATCAAAAGGTAGAAGAAGAAGAAGAGATTATTACGCAGGTTTTCGGGGTTTCAAAGGCATCGATGACGAGAAGCATGATAGCTCACAGATGGCGTGACCGACCGGACAATATTTTTTATTTTATTTTTATTTTGGAATCAAACCGGATTAGTTCATAACCGGAATTTTAGATTTGGTTTTCTCTTTCTATTTGGATTCGGTTTCTTTAGATTTAGAAAACCACTAGAATTTGACTAAATACTTATAAACTTACCAATAAACTTACAAAATGATATATATTGTGCATTAATAAAATTAAATTTTGATCAAACATATTTTGATGTCATATGCTTTGATCAACTTTGCATAGAAATATTAAAACTATATCTTATTATATAAAGGAGAATGCGCACGATGAGAATGAGACACGTAAGCAAAATTCTTATTCACGAGATTATGACAAATGTAATTATTAATTTAGATTATGACATATGTCAATATTAACAAAAATATTTAAAAAGAAAATAAAATAATATTCTAAACAAAGATTATTGACTAATTAAGAAAAAAGAAAAAAAAAATGGCAATTACAAAAATACCATTTTTTGTGTGCAAGAATGCCACTTAGGGTGCTCATTTGCAAAAATGCCACT